CGGGGACCGAACGCATGCGGCCGTTCGTTCGTTCGCTCGACCATCCGTTTCGAGTCGGTACATCAAAGGCGTTCGCCAACAAATGCCTCCGGTCTTCTCGTGCGGTCCTATCGTGCGGTCCTATCGTGCGGTCCCCGTCCATACCACTAGCGAACATTCGTTCGTTCGTTCGTTCGTTCGTGCGGATAATGAATACGCACCTTTACATATTTGATAGAAATGAGTGGATAGTTCAGCTGAGTAAAAAAAATATTTACACAAATAAAACAACATTTTGATTCAAGTGAGAAATATTCTACGATCAAGCTTGTTCACTTGATTTAAGTAACATTTAATCTTCATGGAAATCTAATTTATGATGATTTTAAGATATATTCATTCTTTGATGATATATTTCATCAAAGACACATAAAAAATTACATATTTAAAAGAAATAAACAGTTTTTTACTTCAAAAAAGTATATTATATTCTTTTTCGAATATTTTTCAAGTAATTTTCTTTCTTCGAGCAAAGCTAACATTTACTTGCGTATATACAAGTTTATTATTTGCTTGAAAGAAGATTTATATTCTTATTAGGAGAACTATTTTCTCTATGTGTATATTTTTGTTTTCTCTGCCTGTTTGTCTCGCTGCTCGGCTCTATTTAGAATATTTAGATCAGTGGTTTGTCAGCAAATATGGGATCAAAAGCAAAAGAGGAAGAAAGACGATTTATTTTAGAAGTCATCGAAATGTACCAGCCAGTTCTTTGCCAGCTTTATAGAATACAAAAAGCAAAAAATATGGCCTCTTTTCTTATACCAATCTTTCATCCATTTATTTCGACCCTTTTGTTTCTTAGTTAAACAAGTGGCCAAAACAATAGCAATAGCATTTTGTTTTTTCTTATCCATGTTAACAAAAGTGCAAAACGATACTAGTTATTGAACAAATTCATTGTATTGTTTGGAGATAACTAACAATATTATTGGGCAATATTATTGCGCAAACAAATTGACCGGCTGTGGGCCCCTTGAAAATAAAAAGTTCCCAAATTTATAATTTCAGTCAAATAACTACAGTACGTCTGCTGAATCTGTGTCTATGAAAGGAATGCGGACAAAAAACATTTAAATAAACAGCAATAGGTAGATTTTATACGTCGACTTGACGAGTACGTCACCGCAAATCGCTCCGCCCACTCATTTTATTGGCTACTTGCAAATTTGTAGAATTTTTATTGATGGGACGCCTCATCTATTTTTTACGAAAAACATCGAGAGAATATCGTTTCTCCTCTCACGGATACCCCGTAGCTACAGAACGGACAGACGTACTGTATCTAATCAACATATTTATTTTTTGTCAATAATAATATTTATTGATTATTACCAGTTTCCAGTCTAAATATCTTGAAATGGGTTGCCAGTAACGATTTTAACTAAGATACATTTGTACGTAAAGAAATACAAAAATATATATTTTCTTCACTCAATAGTTTTATGCAGGTATGGACGAAAACTTTACTCTTCAAATCAATTAAAAACATGTAGGTGGCGCCTCCTACAAGTTGAAGTCTGATATTGATATCGAAATAAATCTTCTCATGTCAAAAAACACCCAGGTACCAATTTTCATCCAAATATCGACATTAGTTCAGAAATTATTTGGTAAAATTCGAAATAAAAATGAAACTTCTACATCCTGTATCACCCAGAACTGTTTTACTTATTTTTATCTGCAGAATACGCTGCCGAATTTTCCCGAATGCAATTCGAACAACCCTGTATAGAGAAAGATAGTGTTTGTTGTTATGGTAACTATGTTGTTTAGTGTTGATACAAACACAAGTTGACAAAAGTGAAACTTGGAGCTTGTGCCATAAGAATTTGCAAAGGTTTTTCATATATAAAGAAAACAAGTTTAGATTGGAATGCTCGGCTTGCCGTCAAAACTTATAATAATTGTTTTGGAGCGCATACGTTGTAAAGCGCTGCTATAGCGGTTGCTAAGAACAACCGTAAACAAGAACAGAAATAATTTTCTCTTGTCAAAATCAGAATCTTCAAAAATTATAAAATCTCATTCTTTCAAAATTTAAATCGCACCACATTGAAAAGATACCGAAAACAGTTTAATGCGTCCATTTTCAAAGTAATTATTACTATCTTGTGTGTTTAATTTAAGTTTTATTTACTCAAACCGTGATAATTGTAAAAAAGTGGCATTAAAAACTTAAAAAGCTCTGTGAACTGTGTACTGCAAAAACTATCGTGGATCGTGGTATAACGTCGATTTCCAATGTTTCATAGGTATTTCATACATGTCCTTATAAAAAATAAAGTTTCTTATACTGTTTGACCAGCGGATCTGAAGCTACGGAAGGAATGCGAGAAAAAAAAATCGACATTGCCACGTTTATCTATAAAATTGCAAAATTGCCAGACATGAACTATAAATTTAATATATTTTTATTATATATAATGTGTTTAGCATATATTCTGACGTATATTACTAAGGAATTTTAACGTAGTTCATATTGTTCGATATGTTTTATTTAATAACTTATTTCTTTCATTCTGTATAATCTGCTTATATTTAAAGTTGAAGATTTTTCAACGATATCATTGGCAAACCGGCATCGCAGCGCATGGCCGCCTATTCATCGAACATGATTGGTGAGAGTACGTCACAGGATTTGTTATCACGCGGTTGCCGTGGCTTTTACGCCTTTCCTATTCGCTTGCTTTATCCCCAACTTCACGGTCTCTTCTGAAAAGAGTAGGAATATTGAATACAATTGAAATATCCAGTGGAGGTGTCATTCTTTTGATCATTATTACTTTATTTCATTATTTTATACCGGTTATCCTAAACTTTATTCCTATATTTTTCGTATATTTGATAGTTAAGTTGTGTTTTATTGTTTTGTTATCTTGTTATAATGTTTTTCGTTCGTAGTTTTTAATTATTAATATCAAGCTTGATCGTATATATTTGTATTTTAAAATGAACAAATTTGTTAAGGGTAAGACGCTACATAGTCAGACAAAAGAAATAATAGCTAATTTATATAGGTAAGTGAATAATAACGTAGATGAAATCTCATTTGGTTTATTTCCTTGTGTTCATAATAAGGTTTGCGATGAAGAAGCTACAGAGAGTTCGCTTAAGTTGCCGCTTAAACGTAAACTTGAGCGGATATTTTTTTATACCGGAGTTAGCGTATCGGCTATAAAAAATCACACAGAAAGATAAAAAAGGCTGAAAACTAACCCCGATAAAATGATATCCAGCTCTGGAAAGAAACGACCACGTGAGACTGCTGTCGAAAAGCTCGACGACTTTTTCGAAGTGGTCAGGAATTTGATAAATAGATTTTATCTCGAATTCAAACTCGTCCCCGCAATTAGAAAGCTTTTGCAAAAATTGCAGGAAGAATCGAATTTTCCTTTTGCAGGGAAACGCTTAGGGGGTTATTAAAAACAAATTAATTTTTTTGGCGTAAATGTCAAAATAACGGATAAATATTAATGGAGCGGCCCATTATATTGCAGAGAGAGATATAAATACCTATATACGCGAAATTCGAAAATATACCCAAGTATTATCTATTTGGATGAAACATATGGGTAGACAATGACCTAACCTTTAAAAACTGCTGGCGGAGCGATACCATATCTGGTGTAATAGGCAATATTGCATCTACTGGTGAGTAAAATTATGTTTTGTTTGCGCTTCCAAAGTTAACTATTTTCAAGTTTTTTTTTTGCTGGAAATAGTTATATCTAAAATTATGTATTATAGAAAAAAATATAGTTAGTACAGATATATAAATAAATATACCTCAAGACTCTTGCTGTATAGCACCAAAGGTTCCAACCCCCAGCTGTAATTATTTCTTCTATTATATTAATAACACAATAATAAGATGATTCAAAATATTTAAGGGAGCTTTAATAAAAGCTTTTAGTGTTTATCTGCTAACTCAACAGTAACGATTCAAACAGCATAAAGTTTTTTGAAAAAAGTTACTAATCTGAGTATTATATTTATGATACACATTATTTTCATATAACACCGTACGCCCATGCCTATTTTATGAATGAAATTGGGCGTGTTTTATTTACAACTGCGTTCCCCTGCCGATACCCCGTAGCTACAGATCCGTTGGTCACACTATATGCAACACACTGCATTTTATTGAAAACGTTAAAAGAAAATAATAAATTTGAATAAGTAATATTTGGCGACATAATTCCGGAAAAAGCCGAACCGCTCCGAAATTATCAAAAGCTTTGGAGAGCGACCCTTGTAAGAATAGCGCCAAACAGTATTTTCATTGTCCTTGCGGACACTTTCCAATCTAAACTTGTTTTCTTTATCTATGCACTTCTTCTTACAGTGTCATATTCTATACAGAGCGTCGGCTACCTCTCGCATGTACTTATGATGTGTGTCATCAGTGTTTCACAAGTACACTGGACCTACAGTTTATCGCCGAATCCGAACGGAACTATTTGAGAGGATGTACAAGGCAAATATACTTAAGGTGGTTTGCCATTGCCTTCCTTGAGGTGGTGGCTCGCTGGTCGCTCTATTTAGATAAATCAATATTTTTATTTAAATAAATAAAGCGACCGCACTGGCTGAGGATCGAATCCAGTACCATCCCATCTCTCGCACCACAGATCGACACACTAACTGCTTGCGCTACGGCCGGCCACTTTATTTGGTTAGTATCTATGCACCGCTTGACAAAAGTGAAACTCGGGGCTTGTGTCATAAGAATTTGCAAAGGTTTTTTAAAAACCACGAAAAATGTATGATGATGGGATGATGGGTATTCCTGCAGTAGTTTTTGAGAAAGATCAAAAATCTACTATCACTACCCATTTAATGTTTGCGAATTCTAGAGAACATTTTATCCCACTAACGGATAAAATATCACTTTTGAACGTTTCATATTAATGGATAAAATATATCTTAAATACTGTAACATTGTGAAATGTACATACCTGGAGATTATTGAGCGACTTATACCGAATATTAAACAACGGAGACCCGCTCTTCGACATTGGACTGGGCGGCGTCTCCTTCATCGGCGAAGCGCTCTTCTGCCTCAGCAACCTGCCCCTCTGCGAATGCCCGTTCTTCAAATACAACTTAGGCAACCCCGGCGGCGTCTTCTGATGGACGTGGTGTCCCTTCGAAGGCACTTCCTTCTCCCTTATCGTCGAAGACGCCGACTTTCTGTTCCTTTTCTCCGCCTGAAGCTTTTTCGTAGGTATGGTCTCGATCGGAGGTGGTTCGGGTTTGGTTAAATCCGTTACAGGATGCGATGGGGTTGAACTGTGAGATGTGAGTGAAGGTGAAGGGTCGGAGAAGGGTAATCGAATGTTTTTGGGTAGAGGAGCAAAGCCACGAACGTAGTCGTAGATCTGGTCGATCTCGTCATAGTCTTTGCTGTAAACTGGGACCCGGTTCTCGTCTTTACGATGGTGGTGTTGTTTGGTTCGGTGGTTGGCCGAGTCGGAGGAGGCACTGCGGCGCAGCATGAACCCGTTCTTGGGTTCGGGGGCTGAGGCTGACTGAGTAGGCGACTGTTTTTTCGAGTCGCCCAGTTTACCATCGAGAACCTGAAACAATAACAATCAGAGATTAATTTAAAAATAACTGTTAATTTAATAAATGTTTTATCATCTTTAAATGAAAATTGCACCAAATGGAGTGTTTTTTTACAAGCGTATATTGAACTGGCAATATCCCAATGTAATTTGTTGGTTTCAAAACATACAGTTTTTTTTTATCATGACAAGAACAAATTACAAAGATTAGAAGAACTGACAATACACCATTATGATCATACGAACTAATCTTCAATACACTTTTTCAAAATTCTAATTTGGACATATTTTAAGCTTTTAAATCTTATCTGAAATTTTTATACAGGGTGTCCCAATATTCCGTGGACATAGAACTACGTATTTTTGGAATCAAAATAAGTTCATGGACACTTTAAAATTGGACCCAATTTACGTCTATACAAAAGTGCTTCGTTTGTCCGTTATAGAGATCATCAGATTTTAAAAAAATAAACACATTTTTTAAGATATTTTAAGAATCGTTATTCCGATTTGAATGAGATTTGGGTGACTGTGTTTTGCTATGCGCTTTAAATGTTCTATGTCCACAAAATATTGAAACTTGTTTATTTTGTAGGTAGGCTTTGAAAAAAAATCTTAACTTTCTTAAAGAAATGTGCAATGTGCGGCGTTTTTTACAAGAGACAAGAAATGTAGTAAATACCAGAACGACCTTTTTACAAAAAAAATCTGTTGTCGGTGGAGTTGGATAATGTTTCTATAAAAATTACCCTGTATAAGATAATGTGAGTTTATTTTCATGTATTTATTCTATTATCATGGGTGTTTAGGAAAATTAAGCTAAGTTTTAACCACTTTTCGGATATAGGTACTGTTTTTAGCCAAAGTTTTAGTAGAAAAGAAATAGCTTAGCAACACCACATAGCGCCTCAGATAAAAATATTGTACTATATTATACATAATTGAATGCTGTACCAGAGGGTGCAATTTAAAAAAATTACAATTTTATTATTGTAATTTTTCTTTTGGGACACACTGTATACAACAAAATATTTTTAGGATATGCACCTTTATAAACCGTGCAGCATTTATAAAGTATTATTTTTATTATATCTTCATCAGCAAAGACAATATTGAACTTCCTCGGACTAATAGGCTACTCGGTATACGATTGTATCATTCCTAGTAAAGTTCAACAAAAAATATCAATTTACTAATAGATATTTTTTTAAATTAAGCTTTTTTTTTCTTTTTCTATATTTTAGTATAAAAACTAACTAATTCATTTGACAGTTTGACCACATTTTGTTTATCCCAAACAGTCCGTTATAAATAAATATTTGACAAGCTACATCAAAAAGCTCTTAGCACTAATTGTTTGGGACATCAGGAAAATGGCCTACTAATTAATATGCTAAATATTTAATCTTCCAAAAATGGATACGTCAGCATTCCCTGATTTTACTTTTTCATGAAAAAAATAAGCTATAAAATGATCAAGTATAGGAAAAAAACATAAAACATAAGTCCAAAATGTTGAAAGTAATATTTCAATAATTGACTCATATTTTAAGCATACACTCTAAAGATGCGTAGGTATGTATCCTAGAAGATACATACAAGATACTAAGTTAAATATTAAGTTTACCTGAATGCGATCAGCTACTTCTGCTACTAGTTTCGTACATTTATCTACTAATCGACTAAATTCGGACATGCCGCGCAGCTGCTCTTCGTTTCTGGTGCGCAGCACCTTCAATGGCGCCGCCAGCGGCAATGCAGTTACGCTATGTGACTCTTTTTGAAGGGGTAGCGCGAATATATGCTCCTCTTCAAATATTGACAATAACCTGAAATTAAAATCATTATAGAATAAGACATATATTTACATTTCTATTGAATTACTGCACCGAATATACATTTTTTTCATCCGAATGTCTATTATTTCAGTTTGATGAAGATATACAGTATGCCCCGGATTATCTTTACAAGAGAAAAATCAGTACTAATATCATTTCGATTTCATTCTTTGATAGATGGTTATTACTAATTTTGATTAACTGCTGTTATTAAAGTATCACATTTGCCGATAACTATTGGACCTTTTCTTTTTCCGATAACTATTTAACCCTTTCCCTAGCATTGAACTAAATAATAATAATCATTTTGTTCTTCTTTAACATTTTAAAACAGCAAAATATATGGCATTAATTAAAAATATTACAAATAACAATAATAGATAAATAACTTATCATTAACAATCTATCAAGGTATGAAAACGAAATTATATTACCATAGAAACGCAGTTTTGATTTTGAGGACTTGAATTCAACTATATTTTCATGTTTTTTTTTTAATTTTCTCTAAAGTGGTATAGAAATTTCGAAAAGTATAAACGGGATTTTAAAACAAGCAAACATGTATTATGAATAATGCATTTTTCTCAAAATGTCAATAATAAAAAGTTTTTCCTCTTGGAAAGATAATCCGGAATATACTGAAGAAGCAATTTCAAGAACTGACAGTCCGCGAATTCAGTTTTAAAAATCTGATAATCCTGCATTGCATAATTTCAGATTCAGATAAAAGACTTTTTTAGTATTAAAATTTTGCGATAGTTTTTCTTAATAAATCAGCTTGTATATACGTAAGTATAGTATTTTATGATTCTGTACATTCTTACCTAAGTTCTGGCACAAAATGACTGGGACTCTTAAGCCCTCTAGGGGCAGTGCCGTGCACAAGGCGCACCGTAAGGGGTAGTCGCTTGCTCAGCAAGTTCCTAGCGGTGTGCACGCCACTGATGTTGTCCTCGCGGGCAAGGGCAGAGAACTTGCCCCTCTGCTCCAAACCGAGCAGAATCGTATCACCTCGGATATCCAAGCATTTTAAATAGCGTCCTGAAAAGAAAAAAAAAATAGTTGCTTTAATATTAATACATAAAATCTTGGGCACATACTCGAATGATATAATAAATTAACTAGTTCGGGGTTTTCCAAAATAGATCTGTCAGTTTGAGAAACCTAGTAAACGTTTTATCATCAAAATGTTATTCACGTCGACAACGGTGTTCATCTCGACACCGGTGTTCACATGGATAACGGTGTTCATGTTGACACGGGTGCTCACCTCGATACCGGTGTTTATTTTGACACCGGTCTTGACTACGTCACCGGTACCCAAATCTATTTACATTAGGGTTTGGTTTGGTTTGGTTAAATTGCTTTATCTGAATACTTTGTGTTTTTGTTTAAACACTTTTCTACTTTATAGTTCTTTATCTAGCGATTGCGCTTTATTTTAATGATTAGTCTGACAAAAAAAAGTATATTTCAATTTGAAACCACTAAGTTAAAGTCGGTGCGCACGAGTACACGATAAAAATAAACACCGATACGACATTTTTTTTTCACGTTACACGGTAAGTAAATCTGTTGTCGGCCCCAAGGAGGAAGACAATAGTTTTTTGGGCTATCTTCTCAAGTTTAATACTTTTCTCATTATGTTGCATGTTGCGAGGATAACTGACTTCTGGAGTTGTATAAAAAGATTTTGGTTCAGTTCCAATTTTTCCAGATTGTGAAGGAGCTGCTTGGGAATTTCTCCAGTTGATCCAATCACTATAGGCACTACTGACACTTTATCTACTCCCCAGACTTCATTTATGTCCTGTGCTAGTAATGTATGCTTGTCGATCTTTTCTTGATGTTTTCGGTTGACATTTATAGGGACAGGAACGGCGATATCGATAAGATTTCTTTTTTGAGTTTGTACAGCAGACATAGTAGACATGTCTGGTCTGTTGTGCTGCACTCTCCGATCTGTTAAAATTTCTCTATCCCAGTAGAATTTACATGCATCATTCTCTAGGACTTTCGTTGGGATATAATTGTAATATGGAACGCGCTCGTTAAGGCATTTATACTTCAAACCAAGTTCTGTATGTATAGATTTTGCTACGTTGTTATGTCTATCGGTATATTCTCTTGAAGCTAGAGTTGTACAACTACTAATGATGTGTTCTATAGTCTCGGTTCCTTCTCCACACATTCGGCATACAGTTGTTTTAATTGTGGGGTCGTTTATTATATAATTTAGGTATTATCTTGAGTCTATTACTTGATCTTGAATTGCGCACATAAATCCCTCTGTCTCTGAGAAAATTGTTCCGTGATTCAGTCATGCTACTGAAGCTGGCTTATGAATGCTGTCCAAATCAAGTATGTTGAGGTATCGGCCATGTAGCTCTTTTCCTTCCCACTTGCTTTTTTGTAGGGTTATTGTGTAATCAGCATCTATATTATTTTCTTTATCGCTAAGATTCAGAGGCGTCAGTTTTTTTGACTTGTTTTGCTTATGATATCATAGAGGCTTGATGTTGATGATATCGTGTGGAAGTACGTTCGTAGGTTTTTAATTTGTTTTTTATGTTATAGTCGCAAATCCATGACACCTTGTCCCCTTATATCTCTGGGAAGATGGAAACGTTCTCTACATGCTTTTGGATGATGGGATCGATATTTTGTATAAGTAGTCTAACAGACCTATTTAGTTCGTCAAGTTCTGTAGGAGTCCATTTAATGATTTCAAAGCTATATGTTAGTAGTTTTGATGCTTACACATGGCTTGGTCTTCCTGACAGCCTTTAATCGGGTCTTGAACGTGTTCTTTATTTGATTTTTCATTTCACTGCCATTGATTCCTTGTGACTGGATAAATCCTAGATATTTGTATTTTTCATATTTATCCATGGATCTCACAGTTCCTCCCCCTGATTCTTCAAGAAGGACGTCTCTATCTGACTGACATCATTTTCCTTTCTTCATATGGTTGATTTTACATTTTTCTAGGCCAAAGTTCATTCTCATATCATTTGACAATTTGAATCTGCAGGTGTTCTTATAAGTTTATTTAGACCATTTTGCGTGTTGGATATCAGTTTGATATCATCCATATACATATAACTTATATTTTCTTCGGATATCTGAAATCCACTGTCTGTGTCGATTAACATGCTGCTTAATGGATTTAATGAAATGCTCAACCAGAGGGAACTTAGTACATCACCCTCGTTTAATATGAATTGAAATGTCTTTGGTTTGGTTATTCAATATCAGATTCGTTTTTCATGAATTCATTAGGCTCTCAAATAGTGTAACAATTTGTGAATCAATTTTGTACAGCCTAAGACTCTCTATCGACATTATTATTATTATTATCAGATTTATTATGACTTTATTAATTAAGACTATTTCTTTTTTTAACCGTTTATCAAAACACCGGTGTCGAGATTAACTCCGATGTCGACACACTGTTATACTCACATACCGGATAAGCCATATTTCACAAAACAACACAAAAGTGTGACAAAAGTAAACGATCTAGCTAGAAAAGGAGCGAACACGCCACTAACTGGACCAGAACCGTTCTACTTTCCAAGCGGAAACCAGCTTTAAGAAGAACTGAAGAATCTGGAGGACTCAAATCGGAACCTGGAATGGGAATCCTTCAACGGTCTAAGACACTCGAAAAAGTTCCCCAGAAAGAAAAATCAAACATTTTCTTTGATTTAAGTAAGAAAAATTCTCGGATTGTTACGGGGTTTCTAACAGGACATTGTCTCCTCAACAAAGTCCTCAGTAGATTGAAGCTGAGAAGCAACGGCGAATGCAGATTCTGTGGGGGAAATGGGGAAACACCAGAACACCTTAACCCTGCGTGAGTAAGCCGAGACCACAACCGTTCGTGCCATAAACTTTGGTACGGCTGATGTCGACGATGGAGAGCTGGTTTCTGTGGATCCGTCTTAGATAGTGGCTTTTATCAAAGCCCTGAGACTGCATGATGAGTTATAACCCGTTATAACTCAAAAAAGGGGAACACACAATAAATCTGTAAGGTCGCGGTAATTAACCCCCCTCCTAAACATTCTCCATTCTACAAGCCATATTTGGTTACAGATGTCAGCCCAACACCGGTGTTAAAGCGGTGTTCCGACTATTGAAGCAGGTCCTGTATCCAGGTTCGTATGTTCTATTTGTGTTCTTTCTAATATTGTCTTAAAAAGATACTAATAAAAATTTGACCCTAATATTTTTCTATAATAAGTTAATAATAAACATCCAGGTATACTAAATAGTAAAGTAAAATGGGGTTCACACAAAGAAAATAGATGGAAGTGCACGTATGAATCGGCCGTAAGGTTGGGCAAGTGGCCATCTTTTAACGTAAACCTTATCACTTCATTTACAAGCGGTTTTATTACCTAGGAAGCGATTTGTTTTCGAACAGTGATAGCTAGGAGTGGTGGTAGGTGTGTCCAGTATAAATATCTCGGCTATCAATCAGGGGAATTTTGTGGTTACTGCCTAACGGAAATCTCAAGAAAAACTGTTATGATATTCCCGAATAGTTTATAGATACGAATACAGGGTGTCGCAATAATTCCGCGGATATAGAATTACTACGTATTTTTGGAATCAAAACAAGTTTTGATGAATGAATTGAATTACAAAGAAATTAATGTAATGAAAATTACTTTTGAGAAACGGAATTGGGCAATATATACCTTTCTTCAAAAATAATTCGTTTGTCCGTTAGAGGGCATCAATAAAAAATAAATCCAAACATTAATTAAACTAGCTATGAAGCTAGCTTCATTCAGAACCTCGCAATTAGTGGCATAAATTAGTGGTTTCAATTAGCGTAGAAGTTTGTTCACTTATTTATAATGTAAGCATTCAGAACGTCATAATTAGTGGTAGTAATTTTCAATTAGTCGAAAAAGTTAATAAACTTTTGACTTTTCCACTAAAAAAAAATTTGCGAGGAATCTTATTTTGGCCTTTGATTATCATCTGTCAAGAAAAATTTTGGTTAGAAATCAAAAGTTTATTGTTTTATAATATAAATATTATGCTTTCTCTATGGATACAACAGACTACCGCAAGCTGTTGCTAGAATATTTTATTAATTTTAATTGCGATTTTTAGACATTGCGAATGTCTTAAACTAAAAAGTATAAAGTGTAATTGAGACTATTAATTTATTCCACTAATTGCGAGGTTCTGAATGAAGCTTTTTTGCCAAAAATTATTTGTCAGGCTGACATAACTAACATTCCACATTTGCGCTATCTAGATTATCACCATATCACCTACTAGATTTTAAGACTTGATATGACTAAAAATACAATATGATCGAAAAAAAACGTCAGCGATGACTATGATGTAAAGATCGCGTATACATTTTATTATATATATAGTAAAATTATATAGGAATGTCATCGATCATCATTTCCAAGTGGGCTTGCCGTTTTTTTTTCAATCATACGGTATTTTTGTAGGTCAGCTTCAGAAAATAGTATATTGTATTATTAGGACTAAAAATAATAATTTTTGTGGCAAGGCTGTACGTTTGGCATCACAGACGAGGCACAAAGTCATTTTTACTACGAATACAACATGGTATTTTTTTCAAACGCTACAAATATTTGTTTAAACAATTTTAAATGTTGTAAATAATATAAAAATATTTAAAAGTAATACTTTGTAAAGTAAGTAATTATATATCAAGAAGCTTTAATTAAACACGTTGAATTTGACACTTTATGTCAGTTTAATAATGTATTTTCGTACTTTTGTGCTTAGGCGTAAAAATTATTTTTTTTATATTGTCAATCCAGTCGCAAAAATTAGTACTTTTGTGACACGTTGAAAAATAAAACATCTACTTTTTAGATGAGTTCAACTACGGTAGCGAGCATAGTTTTACGCACCGGTTTTGCTAGTGGGGACATAACTTCTAACGGGACTATTTCGTCTATAACGAATATTTTTGAAAGTATGTACATAATTATAATTTTAGAAGATATTCATAAAAAACTTAAGAACTAGTTGAT